GCAAATGGCTGCAATATAACAAAGAGTGAAAAATTTAAGGGGGTCTGAATACTTTCCGTACCCACTGTACATTTAAAAATGTACCAGAAATTGGCTAATGTACAATAAAATCATCAGACCAAATATGCGCTTATATTATCTTTCTTAAAATAAATGCTACTTAGTTTAAAAGTTTATTAATACTGCAATAACACTTATACATTTTTTAAATGTGACCTAATAGTCTGTTAAATACTAATTTGTATCCTTATCTATTAATTTTTCAAAAACACATACAGTGAGAATAAACCTTAATGTTTTCGCTCTACAAATATACATTTAAAAATGTACCAGAAATTGGCTAATGTACAATAAAATCATCAGTCCAAATATGCTGAATGTGTTTTTCTTACTGCTTTCACAGTGCTCTTCTATTATGCATCATTCTTAATACCTCATGTGTGTTGTGCACCTACCGTACACAGATACATGTAATGGCACTTAACAACATGACCGCCAGAGCCACAACAGCAACTCCAATCAGCACAGAGAAATGATTCAAACCTAAAGAAGAATAAGTAAGTGTTTGGAAAACCACTGATGATTGACTGATTCAGTTAAGCAATTGCCAGATTATCGTAATCTTTCAACAACAAAATAACTATGATGACAGGGGAATGAGAATTTAAAAAGTAAGAGATTAGCATTAGCATTCCTACTTATGTCAATGGTTCCGTCTGAAAGCAATGATTTGCAGGCAGCGTTTGTGCACAAAGGTACCTCATGAAACTCATTTCAGACAGACTTCTGAGGTAGCATAATGGTTTAATGATCTACAACAAGATAGTGAGAGCTTTGGCAAATATTTAATGACTACAATACTAATAACATCAAAAGTTGAAAAAATTGGTTGAAAATGTATATACAAACAGACCACTATAACTGCAACTTTCAGGGGCCATTTTTCTTTTTTAGCCCACCTGTCACGGAATTGAACACAGGATTGTGGGATATCAAAGGCAGTGAAACAGGATACATCTATGATACTTCATTTCAGGAGACAGTAAGTGAAGCTAACATTGGATTCAGACGTGCCTTGTTGCCTTCCTACATTGGAATGCAGCATTTTTCAGGATGAAACCAATGATTGTTATTTTGCTGGTGAATGCACAATTTACATGTTTCTCATTTATAGATTATTGATAGATGTTCTTCTGTTGGATGTATCACAGAACGGAAACTCACGTTCAACAGATGAAGGCAGCTGAAGCAGTTGACTTGCAGTGCCTCGAGTGTTGTTGCTGATACACTGCAGAGTGGATGTGTGTGTGAGAGACTGATGTAGAGTGATGGAGCTCCTCAAGCCTGTGCTGCTCAATCGCTCTTCACTGATGAACGTGTTTGAAGAGTTAGTGACAGGACGTCCAGACAGATGCCACTCCAGTTCAGGAGCGGGATTCCCATCAGCCTCACAGAAACACACAGTTACATCAGTTCTGGCACAGCTGGAGGAAGTGGAGATCTGAGGAACATCTAATAGAGAGAAAGACCAAGAATGGTCTGTGCAGCACACCTGGAAATGTTTCTTAGTAACTTTTTTATGCAGTTTACATTGATTACAATCACTTGGTTGAAAGATTTCCTCTATTCCTTTATTACTCACACTGAATGTCCAGCATCACTGATGAGTTTTGGCTGCCATGTTGGTTCTGAGCTGTACAGTGGTACCAGCCTCCGTGTGTCGGGTCGGTCCTATTGAAGGTAAGAGTGTCTCCAGTCTGCAGCTGCTCCAACTGTCCTTCACTCTCTCTGGACCAGGTGTAGCTCAACACTGCTGGATTTGCATCACTGCTGCAGATCAGAGTCACTACCAAGAATGGTCTGTGCAGCACACCTGGAAATGTTTCTTAGTAACTTTTTTATGCAGTTTACATTGATTACAATCACTTGGTTGAAAGATTTCCTCTATTCCTTTATTACTCACACTGAATGTCCAGCATCACTGATGAGTTTTGGCTGCCATGTTGGTTCTGAGCTGTACAGTGGTACCAGCCTCCGTGTGTCGGGTCGGTCCTATTGAAGGTAAGAGTGTCTCCAGTCTGCAGCTGCTCCATCTGTCCTTCACTCTCTCTGGACCAGGTGTAGTTCACTGCTGGATTTGCATCACTGCTGCAGATCAGAGTCACTGAACTGCCCTCCAACAAAGAGCTGGAGGGAAGCACAGACACTGCTGTGTTTTTGGGCGAATCTGAAGAGAAAAAAAAATAGAGCCTCACAATAAAAATCTAAATAATACAATTTACAAGTCAAAACTAAAAAGCATCACTTACACTGAACATGTACTGTGATGCTGTCCTGTGCTGTTTTGTTCTCGTCCTGTAGCTGGTAGGTTATAGTGCAGGTGAAAGTGACTCTGTGCTGACGGTGAGTAGCAGTGAAGTTCAGATCAGAGATGAGCTCCTCTAGTCTGCTGCTCTCACTGAGGGGGATTCTGGGAGTGGAGCTCCATGTGAGAGTTGGTGGAGGAGAGGAGCAGAGAGTCTCAGCAGAGCAGCGCAGACTCACAGAGCTCCCCTCCAACACCTCCTCCTGACCCTGCACCTCCTTCTGCTCCACATACAGCTGCACTCTGGGTTTGTGCGGAGACTCTGAAATACACACAGATTAATTTCTTATATTTGATTCAAAGAAATGTCTAGCCCCATAAAATTCATCTTTTCATTTCATCATTTTACAAGTATTTATAAATAATATTTCCAGTCATGAATTTACTCACCAATCACATCTATTAAAACATTGTTTTTTATATAGGTCTCTTTCAGTCTACCTTTACCCTCAACCCTGAAGTAATACTGACCACTGTGATATGATCTGAGGTCATAAAAGACAGTGGTGCAGTCCTTATCTTTTAATTTTCCAATTATATTCCCTCTAATGAAGGAGTTCCGTCTTGGTGTGCTTGAGTTAAAGACTACATTTCTGTTCACATCATTCCTATCTTTGTACCACACTCCTTTAGCGCTCTCAGTGAGGTCTTTGTCATATTGTTCTTCAATCTCAAATCTGCATTTTATGATCACACAAGATCCACTCAGAGCTTCAATCCTCTCTGGCAGATAGATGTTGAAATCTCTACAGCAAACACCTGCAACACACACATGATGAAAAGCATTATTTGAAAGGGTGTTTACAGTATCATTTTAAAGGGAGAACGAGCAGAGCAACAGCAACAGTGAAATCTACATCAAACATATTTGTAACTATTAATGTACTTTAATATTTTAAATACTGTAATATTATAAATATTTTGAATGAGATACCAGTCTTTAGAAAACATTTTGTGTATCAGTTAGTATCTAACTGATTTAGCTAAAAATGCTCTAAATGAAAAGTTCTCATTTAGTTTAATGCAGCAGACTAAATGTAGTTTAGCACTTGTTAAACTAGTTAATGTACATTCTCAGTCATACTGAACAGTATGTAACTAGGTGTGAAGAAGGGAAGGAAAATCCTACCTTTTAACAGAAAACAGAAAATAATTATTTTCTCTGCCGTGTCCATCTCTTCATTAACAGACACTCCTCTAGGGAAAAACACACCTGTAAATCTGCACAAATGACAAAAATAAACTCATGGAAATCATAAATTTAGCCTCACTAATAAATGTCTATTGATTAACCGTTTTCAGAATTTCAGAATTATACTGAACAAACAGATATTCATGAATTCATTGCAAGCATCCTACAACTCAACAAACTGAACAGCGCTTCTGAAGAAACATCTAAAGAAGAACAAGAAGAGTTTAAGACTTACCAGACAAGAGTCTATCCTGTTGTAGCAGTATAATGTTTCCTAAATGCAGAAAGACACAAAATTCTGAGCTGATGATTTGAGGCTGAGTGAAATTGTTCTGTGTGAACATACAGTAATATACTGACTGACAGCTAGTGTACAACTTCCTGTATCAGCGTCAACATTCTGTTCACAGACACAGTTATATCAGCCTAAGCCTCTTATTTTTTTTTCTATAAAAATATGTAAATATTCACTTTCCTTGTTCAAAGACTCCACAAAAGTGGAAGATCATATCAGTAAGTTAAACTAATTATACTTCAAGTGATCTTTAAGACATATTCAGTCACTATCATTTCTAAAATTAAAAATAAATGTCAATTCCTCTAGCTTCATGCTCAGCATTCATACATTAAGAGCTTTTCAAACCCTTTCTGTGAATATCATTTTTTCTTTAGACCAAAAGCATCTGATACGTCTAATCAGATCTTTTTCTAGAAATTGCATATAAAAATGGTATAGAAAAACAGTATACATTCCAAGAAGTATTCCCATACATGCCAACCAAAATCAGTCCAAGCACTTTCCAGTCATTCATGTTCCTCACACCTTTCCTTTAGAACAGTGGTTTTCAATCCTGGGGACCCACAGCACTGCACATTGTGTTTGTGTTCCTTATTAACACACCTGACTGATATCATCAGCTCATTAGAAGAGAACTACATGAACTCAACTGAGTGTGTCAGATAATACAGATGTCCAAAATGTGCAGTGCTGGGGGTCCTCAGGACCAGGACCGAAAACCACTTATGCATAATATGTCATTAAAATCCTGAAAGTATGATTAAAGAAGAAAAAAAGAAAGTAAAATGTTTGTGTATTATTGCATATATGCATATATTGTCAGATAGCCCATATATTATTCCACAAAATTTACATTAACGCAATATATAAAAAAAAGAATATATGCACCTTGTTTTTTGCACAATTTGTATCAAATCAATCATCTAAACTTTCATCTTTTTTAAATTACAGGTTTAAAAAAGCCCGGATTTTGTATCTAATTAAACAATTTAATTACAATATACTTAAATATTTAAGTTTGACTGCATTACTTATAAGATATAAGTAGATTCTACTAATTTGTAGACATATTTGAACCTATAAATTACTGTAACTCTGACATGGTGTGAACGCAGCATATGACCTTGAGTATTTGACAACAGCATTATCTAACTTGATAACGTCTTTGTCAATCAGTTTTTTCCTCTGTCAGGATGCAGCTGTCACGGGTGGCTGCTGTGAAGAGCACGACGCAGGAGCAAGATCAGAAAACCACATTTTATTTTAACTCAAATACAGAAAACTCAGAGAACTAGGAAAAAACAACCACTATAATGTTAACGACACCGAACACTAGACACAGGAAACACTGGGCTTAAGTAACAAGGAACTAATGAGGATAATTAAGGGAACACAGGTGAATGGAATGACAAACAAACATGAGGGAAAACTAGGTCATGGAGCACATAGGGAAGGAAAACACAACAAAACAGGAACACAGAAGTCCAGGGGCGTGACAATTCGCCCCCCTCCTGGAAGGTGCGTCCTCGCGCCACATACAATCAACAAAAGGGGGTGGGAGCAGTGTTGCCAATTTAGCTACTGTGTAGCTAGATTTAGCGACTTCCCCGCCCCTTTTGAGACTTTTTTCAAAAGTTTAGGGACAAATATAGCAACTTCTTGGACAAACCTTATCTAAGTTCTCATCTTGCCCACTGATCTACGTTCATCTTTATATAGATCAGTGAATTTGCCATTGCGATGTCATCTAGTGACATTTAGCTACCAGTTTTAGCTACTTTCAATTGAAAGCAGTTGGCAACACTGGGTGGGAGGGTGGGCGTCCTGGAGGCCTCACAGGGCAGGCTAGTACGGGAGGCCTCCAGGGCGGTACCGGTTCCGGGAACCATTGCAGAGCAGGCAGTTCAGGGAGCCATGGCGGAGTGGCCTCCGTGGCCTCCGTGGCCTCCGTGGCCTTGACCTCGTAACTCAGCCCGGCCCCTACGGCCGGAGAAGTATAGCCCCCCATTCCCCTCTTGGGGAAGACTCCGGATCCCCTGGCTGGAACTGGCTCTGGGCTGGGCACAGAAGTCCACTCCGGACTACATTCAGGAACAGAAGCCCTCTCTGGGCTAAACTCGGAATCTGAGGCTCCCTCTGTGCCTGACGTGGAAACAGGAGACCTCCCTGGGCTTGACTCGGGAATTGAGGCCCTCCCTGGGCCTAACGTGGGAACAACAGCCCTCTCTGGGCTGAACGTGGGAACAGGAGCCCTCTCTGGGCTGGACGTGGGAACAGGAGCCCTCTCTGGGCTAGTCTCGGGATCTGAGGCCCTCCCTGGGCCAGATGCGGGAACAGCAGCCCTCTCTGGGCTGGACGTGGGAACAGGAGCCCTCTCTGGGCTAGTCTCGGGATCTGAGGCCCTCCCTGGGCCAGATGCGGGAACAGCAGCCCTCTCTGGGCTGGACGTGGGAACAGGAGCCCTCTCTGGGCTAGTCTCGGGATCTGAGGCCCTCCCTGGGCCAGATGCGGGAACAGCGCGGGAACAGCACCCCTCTCTGGGCTGGACGTGGGAACAGGAGCCCTCTCTGGGCTACACTCGGGATCTGAGGCCCTCTCTGGGCCAGGCTGAAGCCCTGCAGTGGCAGGAGAACAACCTGCACAGAAGGTTGTTCACAAAACTACACCCAAACCACAACAGCACAATCTGGCCCATCCAAATTATACAATTACAAAAACAAAACTACATTAACTATTGGAAATATGCTACTAAATTACAAAAAAATATGGAGTTCTATTTACACCTGAAAAGAGATTATAAACCAGAAGAATATATGAGCTGTGTAAAAAAGCACAAATTGAGAAAGCCAGAGAGAGGACGGCACAGACAGAGAAGGCAGCCACAAGAACAGAGACTGTGTTTACTGTGCTCGCAGAAAGAGCTATTGTGATTACTATCACAACATTCGAGTGGCATATTTAACTAAATTCCAACAAATACAAATCTAATTTTATGGCATTAGCCAATGCAGAAATATTAATTCATATTTTAGGGGGAAACTCCAGCATGATTGCAACAGCAGCAGAATACGTATCAGCCTGTCACAAACTAAGAGAGTTAGCCAGTGGACACACTAACGCAATATATATATATTTTTTTTTACATCTACACATTTTGTACAAAGTACTCTTTTCTTCTTCTTTGTTTTGGTTTGTTTAGACAATAACTTAACTATTTTCTTATTTCTTGTTTATACAAAAAATGTATTCATGTAATTAGTTACTTACTGATTTAAAGATCTATGCTTGTTGTGTTTATGTATTATAATGTCAATGTTTTGGCAATACTGTGCAAGTCATGCCAATAAAGCTCACTTGAATTGAATACCATTACAAACGTTACAAACCATCAACTTGTAACCATTAAAATGGTTTTCTGTAGTGTGTTTTGGGACATTGTTTCTTTATTATAGTACAATATTTTAACAGTCTATAATATTTAAATAGACTTTTATTTTTACTACTTAGCCTGAAATGAATCTGTCAGTCGTGTCCCCAGGATGTCATTTTGCACTAGGACCGTTTTATTTGAGTTCGCAGGGCAGAATTTCCCTGACGGACGGATGTGAGTAACGGCGTTTTATGTCCCTTGCGCTTTTACAAAGAACGTATTTAGCTCCTGTCAGGCTGTTAGCTAATCCGCCTTGTTCCGTTTAGTTTTAATATTTTGTTATTTGCCTTTGAGTGTAGTTTTCTTCCAGTACAATTATATACCAACATTTTCTATGCGAGTGGTCTTGCTGAGTGCGCATTAACCATTGATGGAAAAGTAGCGGGCGATGCTAGCAAGCTAAAGCTAGCTGCATTTCTTTGACACACAGGTGACAGAATAACAACTGATATTGTCTAGATAAGTATGATTACTTGAATAACCCCTGTCAACTCTTTATTACTTAAATCTTTTTTTACTTTATTACTTACGACTTTTAGTTAAACTAAATACATGTTCTTTCCAGAAAGAAATGTTGACAACCTTCTTCAGAGCAGGGTTGGCTACTGCTGCCATATATTTAAAGTGCCTATATTATTTTCCACAGTCTCTGTGCTGCAGGACCAGGATGAGGATGTTCTCAGTTTCACACAAGACGGCCTTTGTGGTGGATCACTGCCCGTACATGGCAGAGTCCAGCCGGCAGCCGATTGAATGTGACATGCTGGCCAAAAGCCGTTCGCAGGGTGTGATTCCTCTGGCTCCAGTGTCCAAATCTCTCTGGACGTGTGCGATTGAGTGCTCCATGGAGTACTGCCGGATCCTGTACGACATTTACCCCACCTGGAAACTGGTGAGTGTATGGAAACTGGAGCTGTTAATAGGTGCAGTTACTATAAACTATGAACTAGTATTGATCACGAATCGATTTGATTCAGTATTGGTTCATCTGGATATAAGGTGTGTCAAACAACAAGTGTCACATGCACACATAATATAAACATGTAAACAGTCATATTAATTTAAACATGATATATTGGAATATAGAGTATATTTTTAGCACAATGCTCCTCTCTAGAGTTATGATGTATACAATGTACAAATATAATGTTTTATTGACATCTGACCACTGATCGATCACATGAGACATGATGCATTTCAGTAAGTTGTACTGTTTCTTTCAACGAACTTTGACATTTATTTATGCTTATTTCTTGCAGTAACTAGTACTAAAAAGGAGATGATGATCTGTTTATGTGCGCTTCGTGCTGCTTGAACAGAATTTAAAAGCTGAGACTTTGTTTCATATCAAAAGTAACAAAGCTTATTGCGGTTATTGTATAAGAGGCATGCTATGAATAATTTTTAGTGAAATTTAGTTCACCACTGTTTTATGTACATCAACAGAAAACAGCATAGACTAAAAGACTGATCTTTGGTTTTAAAAATCAATATTGGTCAACCCAGCCCAACTATGAGCTGTTTTGCTATGGAAAAGACTCAAAAGAGTTGTGTGAAAATTCTTCATAAATGTTCCTTTATTAATGTTCCATGAAAAAAAAATAGCATTTGAAATTTTAGAATGAAATATGGGTAAGTAAATAATGACAGAATTAAATTTTGGGGGGTAAACTATTCACTCTCAGGTGAACTACATCGTGAGCGATTCTGAGGTTCACATCTTGAACAGCTGGAAGCAGGAGGACCAGAACACACATGGGGTAAAATCATCACATCTGTCACTCCGCACATCCATATTGCACAGCCAACGTTGTGTTGGGCTAGTGTTAAGTGTATGTCTGTGGTGTTTGTTAGCTGATGGCTGCTTTGACAGCTGTTGGGCCTCCAAACCCTCGTCAGGATCCTGAATGCTGCAGCGTCCTGCACGGGCTGGTGGCAGCTGTGGAATCACTGTGTAAGATCACGGAGTATCAGCATGAGTCTCGTACCACTCTGATGGACACAGCTGACAGAGTGGCCAACAGGGGGCGCATTATTTGTCTCACCAATGCTAAAAGGTGAGAACTAAAATATTTGTATACAGATATTAAGCATTGAACTAAAAAAAAGTGACAGTTAAACATTTATAGTATTACAGAATATCTTTATTTCAAATAAATACTGTTCATTTGTGACCCTGGACCACAAAACCAGTCATAAGGGTCAATTTTTCGAAATTGAGATTTATACATCATCTGAAAGCTGAATAAATAGGATTTCCATTGATGTATGGTTTAAGATAGGACAATATTTGGCCGAGATACAACTATTTGAAAATCTGGAATCTGAGGGTGCAAAAAAAAATCTAAATATTGAGAAAATCGAAAAAATTGCTAAGTTCTTAGCAATGCATATTACTAATCAAAAATTACGTTTTGATGTATTTACGGTAGGAAATTTACAAACTATCTTTATGGAACATGATCTTTACTTAATATCCTAATGATTTTTGGCATAAAAGAAAAATCAATATAATCAATAATAAAAAATCAAATAATTTTGACCCATACAATGTATTTTTGGCAATTGCTACAAATATTGTTACAAAGAGACTTAAGACTGGTTTTGTGGTCCAGGGTCACATTTGAACTTGAATGTGTCATGGTTTTCACAAAAATATTAAACAGCAGAAACTTTTTTTTTCATTGATAATAATAAGAAATGCATCTTGAGCAAGAAATCAGCATATTAGATTGATTTCTTAAGGAACATGTGGCACTGCAGACTAAAGTAATGACTGCTGAAAATTCAGCTTTGCCATCAAAGAAAACAGTTGCTTTAAATTGTAATTATATTCAGAGTATTACTGTTTACTGTTTTCTTCTTTCCCCCAGTGTACACAAAATTTCTTTCTCTGTCTTCTTCTTTTAGTGACACTCATGTCAGAATGCTGGAGGACTGTGTGCTGGAAACCATTCAGGAGCAAAACAAACGGGCAGCAGGATCTGACAGGTCAGTTTTGATATCTCTGGAGTCCTTTTTATTCACTTTCCATTAACATTATATAGCATTATTCTTACTGTTACATGTTTTTACTGTGCAGACTGATGCCAATTCAGCAGTGTGAGCTTGTGCTGGTCCACATCTATCCTCAAGGTGAAGAGACTCTGGTCTCAGATCGGCAAAAGAAAGAGGTAGCATCTTTTTCTTCATTTCTGCTATAAATGAAAATGACTTTCCATTGGGATTTCCGTAAGAATGAAAAAAATCTGAGCTTTTCAGAGTTCCGAGCTTTCAATCAAAACAATCAGCTCTGAAATGAATTATGACTTAAAAAATAAGATAAAAATCAGACCAGTGTTTGATTCCTAACACTACTTTAAAGCATGAAAGCAGCAGTAAGTGTCTTGTTTCACTTGCCATTGTGTTATTTATTACATGTTCAATGTTAAAATATATTGAAAATGTTTATTTTTGGTCTGTTTTGTGTGTGTGCAGCTCTCGTCAGTGTTGAGCAGCGAGGTTCACAGTGTGCGAGCTGGACGGTATCTAGCTGGTAAACTGAATGTGCTGGTTCAGCAGCACTTTGATTTG